TCAGCAGTGGGCGTGTATCTCAGTAGGGACGGGTTGCCTCGGCAACGGCTGGCTGCGTCAGCAGTGGGCGTGTATCTCAGTTGGGGCGGGTTGCCTCGGTAGTGGTGGACGCCCCTCCCCCACAGAGTGTCTCCGACCGTCTGCTCGGGATAGTTTGAAATCGCGGTTTTGTTCGTCCCACTGGGTATCCCAAACGATCTCTCCCTGCAATCCCCTGGGCTGGGCTACTGTCCAAGTCTCGTTCAGTCTCAAGTCCAGCCCTCTCAAGTCTCAGGTTGCCGGTTCAACAAGGCACCCGGACAAGCGTGCCCTGTGGGGATTGCTGGGTAGGGCCGGCCACAGCCGCCCCGGCTGCCGGCTTCGCCAGGCAGACCTACTGCCTGGCGTCCCGTGTCTTTTTATACTTGGGAGTTTCCCCGTTCTGTGGGCAACAAAGATCAGTCTGGAAATGCAGCTGTGACTCACCATTTGTGGATTCAACGCGAGCTCCAATCCTGGGTTGTTCTCACAGCGCCATCTTGAGTCCTCTCGTGGCTTGGATTTTCAATCTTTAAAAGTAATCTTTACATCCAAGGACATCTAGGTTTTCTCTTACGTTACCTTCTAGGAGTTCTAGAGTTTTGCATTTTACATCTAGCTGTATGATACATTTTAAAATAATTTTTGTGGATAGTGTAAGGTCTATGTCTAGACTCATTTTTTTGCACATGAATATTCAGTTGTTCCAGCAGCATTTGATGAATAGACTATATTTATGTACTTTTGAGGCCCTAGAATTTACAATATATATTAACGCTAATCCAAGTTCATTTTAAATCACACCATGTGGGGTCTTTAAAAGTTCATGGAGACTGGGTGCAGTGGCTCATGCCTGTAATCCCCGCACTTTGGGAGGCCAAGGCAGGCAGATCACCTGAGGTTAGGGAGTTCAAGACCAGCCTGGCCAACACAGTGAAACCCCATCCCTACTAAAGTGCAAAAATTAGCCAGGCATGGTGACGCACACCTGTAATCCTAGCTACTTGGGAGGCTGAGGCAGGAGAATTGCTTGAACCTGGAAAGCAGAGGTTGCAGTGAGCCAACTGCACTCCAGCCTGGGTGACAAGAGCAAGACTCAGTCTCCAAAAAAAAAAAAAAAAGTTCACGGAAAATTTGCATTATGAAAAAACTATGCAAGGATTTCAATTTTTTTGAACCAAAATAAACTAGTACTAGCTTGTTACTAAATATCTGAACAGGATCTAGTTTGAGGCACTAAGAAGGGCAAACATCAGTTTGAAAAGGTCCTGTATCAGAGCGACATGAGATCTGCTAAAATTGAAGAACAGACATCAATGTCGTGGTGAAGTTTGGATGGAAGAATGGTGAAATCACTGATGTATTATGAAAAGTGTTTGGGGACAAAACCCCGAACAAATCAGCAGTTCACAAATAGGTAACTCATTGTAAGAAGAGATGAGGCTATTCGTGGTGGCTCACACCTGTAATTCCAGCACTTTGGGAGGCTGAGGCAGGCAGATCACCTGAGGTCAGGAGTTCAAGACCAACCTGGTCAACGTAGTGAAACCCCATCTCTACTAAAACTATAAAAATTAGCTGGGCATGGTGGTGCACACCTGTATTCCCAGCTACTTGGGAGGCTGAGGCAGGAGAACTGCTTGAACCCAGGAGGTGGAGGCTGCAGTGAGCTGAGATTGCACCACTGCACTCCAGCCTGGGCAAGGTAGCTAGACGCCATCTCAAAAAGAAAAAAAAGAAGAGATGAGATGATGTTGAAGATGAAGCTCATAGTAGCAGACCATCTACATCATTTTGAGAGAAAAAATTAACCTTTGTGCCCTAATTGAAAAGAACTGATGAGTAACAGCAGAAACTGCCAACATGATAGACATATCAGTGGGCTCAGTTCACACAATTACAAAAAATTAAGTAGAATAAAGTTTTCATTCAATGAGTGCCAGAACCATTGCACCAAATCAGGTGCAGACAAGGGCAGAGCTTTTAATGTTTTTTTTTTTTTTGAGATGGAGCCTTGTTCTGTCACCAGGCTTGGCTCTGCAACCTCTGACTCCTTGGTTCAAGCAACTCTCCCGTCCCAGCCTCCTGAGTAGCTGGGATTACAGGTGCGTGCCACCATGCCCAGCTAATTTTTGTATTTTCAGTAGAGACAGGGTTTCACCATATTGGCTAGGTTGGTCTCGATCTCCTGACCTCGTGATCCGCCAGCCTCAGCCTCCCAAAGTGCTGGATTACAGGCATGAGCCACCACGCCTGGCCCTTTTAATGAAAATTTTAAACAAGTAGGATCAAGACTCTGAAGAAATTTTTTTGAAGATTTGTAACAGGAGGTGAAGCTTTGGACTCTCAGGCCTTCGACCACAGACTGAAGGCTGGACTGTTGGCTTCCCTCCTTTTGAGGTTTTGGGACTTGGACTGGCTTCCTGGCTCTCCAGCCTGCAGAGGGCCTATTGTGGGACCTCACCTTGTGAACATGTGAGTCAATACCCCTTAATGAACTCCCCTTTATATATACATCTATCCTATTAGTTCTATTTCTATGGAGAACCCTGACTGATACTGACAGTGGGAAAGGAAGGCTAGAGGGGGCTGGACTTAGGTATTTCCCTTCCCCCACTGGGAAGGCTTGAGGGAGCCTGCATTGACTGTTTCACTCCCTGCCCAAGTAGATTCGGCTCTGATAGATAACCCCAGTGGGTTAGGCTCTGGTCAGAGTTTTTTCAGAGGAATAGAATGCTCATGTATTTCAAAATGGTCTCTTTTTCCCACCCCTAGCTGGAAGCATGAGGGTATTTTCTCCAGTATTTACTGTGAGGACCTGGTAGACCTCTTGGAGGTAAAACTGGCAGAAGTGTGGGGGTCTCCTTATGAAAGGAGCGCCCAGAGTTTTTAACCCTGAGAATGGTCTGCACCGAGTCTCCAGAAAATTCATAAATTACATTTTAGGTTTTCCCCCCTCAGCCCTGGTTTCTGCAGAGGTTTCCGTTTGTGTGTTTCTCCTCTGAGAAGTTGTGGTTCTCTGTGTTCACCCATCTGTCTCTCCAATTCTGGGGGCAGTGGTTTGCCCTGTGACCTCGGTTCTCTGATGAATCTAAGTAGAGTTGATAGTTTTTTAGTTTGTTCTGTTTTTTACATGTTGTTCGGATAGTGGCAATTTCTAAGCTCCTTACAATCAGACGTTGCAGGCATGATTTTTACTTATATGAATTTGGGCAGGCAAGAAACATTCCATTACTTTGTGTTTATGTGGTTTTTTTAAGACGGAGTCTCACTCAGTCACCCAGGCCCAGGCTAGAGTGCAGTGGCATGATCTCAGATCACTGCAACCTCTGCCTCCTAGGTTCAAACGACTCTCATGCCTCAGCCTTCTGAGTAACTGGGATTACAGGCACGTACCACCACACTTGGCTAATTTTTGTATTTTTAGTAGAGACAGGGTTTTACCATGTGGGCCACGCTGGTCTCAACCTCCCGATCTCAAGTGATCTGCCTGCCTCAGCCTCCCAAAATACTGGAATTAGAGGCATGAGCCACTGACCTGGCCTATATTTATGTTTCTTTTACTTACAAAATAGGTATATTTCATACCTTTCACGTTACTATATGCAAGTTATTGTTTTAAGTGTGTATTACTACATTCTCGTACTGCTATATAGAACTACTTGAGACTGGGCAATTTATAAAGAAAAGAGGTTTCATTGGCTCATGATTCCATAGGCTCTACAGGAAGCATGGCTGGAGAGGCCTCAGGAAACCCACAATCATGGTGGATGGCACAGGGGAAGCAGCACATCTTAACATCCAGAGCAGGAGGAACAGAGCTAAAGGGGAGGTGCTACACACTTAAACAACCAGACCTCATGAAAACTCGCTCACTATCACAAGAACAGCAAGGGGGACATCCGCCCCAGGATCCGACCACCTCCCGCCAGGCCCCTCCTTCAACACTGAGGAGTACAGTTTAACGTGAGATTTAAGTGGAGACACAAAGCCAAACCATATCAAAGTGCTTTATAAACATAAACTCATTTTCTTCAAAACAACCCCACAATGAAGATTCTTTCATCATCCTCAATTTACAGGTGAAGAAATTGAGGTAGAAAAACTTGGCCAAGAAAACACAGGATTCTGGCTCCAGACACTATGAGGGCATCCTTTTAAAATTCAACTTAATTTGATTTGATCTAAGGGCTCATCCTCCTAAACTAGAGTCTCTCTTTTTTTTTTTTTTTTTGAGATGGAGTCTTGCTCTGTTGCCCAGGCTAGAGTACAGTGGTGCAATCTCGGCTCACTGCAACTTCCACCTCCCGGGTTCAAGGGACTCTCCTGCCTCAGCCTCCTGAGTAGCTGGGACTACAGGCATGTGCTAACACACCCAGCTAATTTTTTGCATTTTTAGTAGAGATGGGGTTTCACCATGTTAGCCAGGATGGTCTCGATCTGACCTCGTAATCCACCCACCTCAGGCTCCCAAAGTGCTGGGATTACAGGCATGAGCCACCGCGCCCAGCCTGGAGTCTCTTCTGTCTACTGGGGTTGTAGAGGGATCCTGGGAGTCATATTTGGAGAAGCCTATGGGATGAGTGGAGTTGGGGGAGGCAGCTCTGGTCTTTGGCCAGCACTGTCCCTGCTGATGCACTCCTTACCCAAACTCACTCATTCCCTGAAGATGAGCAGCTCTGCTCCTGGGTGTGTCTCCCAGGTGGGCTTGTAGTATGTTAAGGACTCACAATAGTGGTATAAATATGGAATCATTTCATATTTTACCATTACTACTTCCAACTTTGTGATGTTAATTCCCTTCCTTCATTCCTCAGTGACATTTTGGGCAGACTTTTGTTGGGGTCTGGCACGTCTGCCAGGGGGCTACCAACCTGCGGGAGTCCCTGAGACCACCAACGTAGATGTCTCGTTCAACCTGAGGGAGAGAGTGCGCGGAAGTGAAAGAAAAAAGAAAAGCGGAGTCTGGAGGGCTGGCTTAGTCTATGTCCAAGCAGCAATTTTATTTTTGCAATATGTTCCATTATATACTTTTCTGAAGTTAATGTTGTTTATGCCAGATCAACATACTTAAGTTACAGTAAGCAAGTTACACCCACTAAGTTATGCCCAGTAAGTAAGTTAAGCCCAGTAAGTCAGTTACGCCCGGTAAGTACTTAACAATTGTAAATACTTAAGTCACAAGGTAAGCAAGTTACAGTTATGCCCAGTAAGTTATAGTAAGTAAGTTACAGTGTAAATACTTAAGTTAATATTTTACAATGAAGGTAACAAGGGTCCAAAATGGACACAATCAAGCAATAAACCATAAGGAGCCGAAAGTGGACACGATGCCTCCCAAGTCCTCATATCCATAAAGTAATGTCTGTTAATTATTTTGAATAGCATAGTCCCTCTCTCGGTTCCTGCTTTCCCTCAGCTTGACTCCCCCAACCAGGGATCTGTGTCCGGGCTCAAGCTCACTGTATGGCAAGGCCCATTTCCTAGGGGCCGCACACGGGAGCAGTCCCCACAGATCCCTCAGACTTTATTACTTGCAATCACTTTTGATTATTAAAATCCCAGCCAAGCTTATCCTAAAGGTGCTTCAAATCTCATGTCTTGCCCTTTCTTTGCCCTAGCACAGGCACTAGGGTGCGGGCTTGGTGTTACTCTAATACATCTCCAGCCCCCACCCGCAAAGCTGGCTTCTCTGGTGGGAGAGGGCACCACAGCAGGAGGCTCTCAGGCCTCATTCTGATTGGGTCTGGCTTTATGTGGTAGTTTCTTGTGCTGATGATGGAAGTGGTTTCCTGAGGTAAAGCTCACCTTCACCCCAGCACTACTGCTTCTAAAGATCAACTCAAAAAGGGGCACCACCAGGAATCCATGCCTTCAGCCACTTCTCTAAGGCATTGTCTGCCTGAACTCACCAGGGCACTCGGGCCTGGCTCCCCCTCCAACATTCTGCTCTTTCCAGTAAGCATGGAAGCACTGAGGTCCTCCTCCACTTCTTCCAGGAGCCTCTGGGAATGTGGGTGTTTCCCTACATCTTTCCCTCAGCTAGTTTGGGCACTACTATCCCCACTTGTTGAAGAGAAGTGGCACTAATTTCTTTTTTTTTTTTATCTGGAGTCTCACTCTGTTGCCCAGTGGCACCATCTCAGCTCACTGCAACCACCACTTCCTGGGTTCAAGCGATTCTCCTGCTTCAGCCTCCTGAGTAGCTGGGATTATACAGCACCATGCCCAGCTAATTTTTGTATTTTTAGTAGAGATGGGGTTTCAGCACGTTGGCCAGGCTGATCTCAAACTCCTGACCTCAAGTGATCTGCCAGCCTCGGTCTCCCAAAGTGCTGGGATTCCAGGCAAGAGCCAGAAATGGCACTAATTTCTATGGTTGAGTACCACCCTCAGCTTAGGTTCCCCCAATAACTCACTCAACACACCCCATTCTTCTCCAATAGCAGCTTCTGGGTGGCCAGGGATGGCTCAGCCAGTCAGCAAGATGCCATTCTCCTTTTGCTGCAGACACCCCCAAGCTACAAAACTTCTTGAAATCTTCCCCTCAATTAAGCTTGGTGGTGGGTGGAGAATGCACTCCCTTCCTGATCCCACAGAGAAGAGTGGAAATCTTGTCATCACCAACGCCATACTTTACAGACTGAGAAATCTGGCGACTCCTCTCAACTCCCCAAAGCGTGGACTGTGCCACACATGCAGTGATCCATCCAAAAACAAGGACTGTAGCCTCAGTTCCAAATACCAGAGAGGGACATTTGCAGCCTTGCTAATGGAACACCTTCATCTTTGAACCTTTATTGTGTTTTGTACAGGGCATTCTCTGAACTAGTTTGTTGTGGTTATAAAACAGCTAGAAAAGCAGCTCACATTTGTATTTATTTTCTATTCCATACTTCTGCCCCATATTGTTCCCTCTCAAAATCCATTCGTTTAAAAAAATAAATCTGGGCTGGGCGTGGTGGCTCATGCTTTTAATCCTAGCACTTTGGGAGGCCTAGGCAGGTGGATCACTTGAGGTCAGGAGTTTGAGACCAGCCTGGCCAACATTGTGAAACCCTGTTTCTACTAAAAGTACAAAAATTAGTCAGCTGTTGTGGCAGGTGCCTGTAAGGCCAGCTACTTAGGAGGCTGAGGCAGGAGAATTGCTTGAACCTGGGAGGCAGTGAGCCGAGTGAGCATTGCTTGAACCCGGGAAGCAGAGGTTGCAGTGAGCTGAGATCTCGCTACTGCACTCCAGCCTAGGCAACAGAGCCAGACTCCATCTCAAAACAAATAAAATAAAATAAAATACCTGTTGCAGATGTCAAACAAACAGACTCAGAGACCACAGCAGTGGTAGTAGCTGTGTTTCTCTGCCAACCTTGTAAGGGACTGTCAGGGTTACTATGCTCGCCTGTGGCACTCTTACCCACTGAGCCCACTGAGGGCATTTTCTACGCAGAAGAGAGAGTTAAACAGGGAGACATACATTTCCTCAGAATTCTATGAGTACATAAAATGAAGCAACTGAGGCTAGGAACTTGCGCCATTTTCAAACACTAGCCTGTTTCTGAAACTTTCTTTCTAGCACAACCTGGCTTCCTGTGAGGCTGAAACCACCAACCCAGGGAGAGCCTGGCAGAGCCCGGGATGATGTGATCATAGGAGAGTTCTTACATAATTGGCTCATGTTGCTATTAAACTTTAGTGTTGATGGTAAACATGTTATGTCTGCATATCTTATCTCCCTAATTAAATTATGATTCCCATAAAATCAGAAATCTATCGATCCTTTTTTCCTTCTATGTCAATTAGAACAACGTCTTATGAACTTACAGTGAAAGCTTCACATAATTTGTTGAATAAAGAAATGGGCCAGGCTCGGTGGCTCATGCCTGTAATCTCAGAAATTTGGGAGGCCGAGGTGGGTGGGATCACCTGAGGTCAGAAGTTTGAGGCCAGTCTGGCCAACATGGTGAAACCTGTTTCTATTAAAAATACAAAAACTAGCCGGGCATGGTGGCGGGAGCCTGTAGCCCCCGCTACTTGGAAAGCTGAGGCAGGAGAATTGCTTGAACCTGGGAGGTAGAGGTTGCAATGAGCTGAGATTGCAACACTGCACTCCAGCCTGGGCAACAAGAGCAAAACTCCATCTCAAAAAAAAAAAAAAAAAAAGGAAAGAAAGAGAAATGAATGACTAGAAAACAAAATATTGCCTACAAAACCTTGACTCCTATAACCTGATCGTAATGCTGGCAAAATTAGAATAGAAAATATTCAGTAAACTTTTGTGGAATTAAATAAATTGAGTAGAGTCTTATGTATGCAGCACGTTGATGTCAACAGTAAGTCTCGGATGACACAGATATGGATTCCACTGAAAACAGAACTTGGAGATTAAGACATAGGGACAAACCAGGTAAAGTTTTAACAGAAATGAAATCAAATATTTTTTCAAGTCTTCTCTAGACCAGCCTGTTTCTTTCCAATGTTTTCAATGGAAACAATTAATTTTATAGTAGGAAATGAAGTTATAATTCTTGAAGCCTGTGTTCAAGTCTGACTGCAGCTCAGTCATTTCAAATTTTCATTTATAAAGGATGATTATAAAATAATGAGCCTGATATTTATGCATGTACTATAGAACCAGTTTTGTTGTTTTATAGCTGCACACAATATTTTCTTTTTTGTTTTTTTTTTTAGATGGAATCTTGCTCTGTCTCCCAGGCTGGAGTGCAGTGACATGATCTCGGCTCACTGCAACCTCCGCCTCCTGGGTTCAAGCAATTGTCCTGCCTTAGTCTCCCAAGTAGCTGGGACTACAGGTGCCTGCTGCCACACCCTGATAATTTTTTGTATTTTAGTAGATACTGAGTTTCACTCTGTTGCCCATGCTGGTCTCGAATTCCTGAGTTCAGGAAACTGGCCTGCCTTGGCCTCCCAAAGTGCTGGGATTATAGGCGTGAGCCACTGTGCCCGATCCTGCACATCATATTTTCAAAAGGTTTTTTTTTTTAAACTTGAAGCAATGGCAGGGGATCGATATTCAATCAGTTTGTGCAGAATATGATGACGGATTTGAGATCACTAGGGTTTGGACTTGTTTGATGCCAAATAAAGTCAATAAATCTCATTTACTCATTCAACAAACAGCTATTGTATGTTTACTGGGCACTAAACACTGAAATATAAAGATAAAAGACATAGGTCCTCTCTTTTAGGACCTATGCTGCAGCTGTTGGGAATTCAGAAGATGAATAGCCAGCCAGTCAATGCAGTAAGTGTCACGGTACAGATGATGTCTTGGGAGCATACGCGGTGGGACCTAACCCAGCCTTTGGGAGTGTCAGGGAAGGCCTCCTTGAAGGGGTGATAGATGAGGAGCATTTTGAAAGATGAATGATTGGTTGGATGAAGAGGATGAGAAGGTGTGCTTTAAGCAGAAGAGAATGACATACAGCACATACCTATATCAACACATCATGTTATATACAGTAAATATACTCATTCACTTTTTGTCAATTATACTTCAAATAAAGCTGAAAAAAATTTATAGTGATTTATTTTCTCATTCTAAATAAATACTCACTTTAATGTCCAATTATATTTTACTTTACTTATTTTATTTATTTTTGTAGGGACAGGGTATCCCTGTGTCACCTAGGCTGGAATGCAGTGGCACAATCATAGCTCACTGCAGCCTCAAACTTTTGGGCTCAGGCAATCCTCCCATCTCAGCCTCTCAAGTAGGTAGGACTAGAGGCACATGCCACCATGCCAGGCTAATTTTTTTTATTTTTTTGAGAACAAGGTCTTGCTATATTGCTCAGGCTGGCCACAAACTGGACTCAAGCAATCCTACCTCAGACTCCCAAAGTGCTGGGATTAGAGGCATGAGCCATTGTGCCTGGCCTTATGCCTAATTTTATGTGGATGATTTTGTATTTCTTTTTCAAAGGGAGCTTCCAAATTTTATAAGCTTCAGGTTCCACAAAACTGGATCTGCCCCTACTACCTAATTGTGATGCTAATTTGTCATATCCAATTTGCTTGCTCATGTCTACAAATACTTAACAAATATTTATCAAGTACCAAACACTGCATGAAGTGCTTAGAAATTTTTATTTGCTTTTCAAGGTTAGTTCTTTTTAGACTATCAGAACATTTTCTGGGTACCTCTGACAAATAATGCCAACATTTAGAGTTCAGTACCTTAGAAATATAGGCTGGGTATGGTGGATCATGCCTATAATTCCAACTCTTTGGGAGGCTGAGGCGTTTGCATCACTTGAGCTCAGGAGTTCAAGACCAGCCTGGTCAACATGGCGAAACCCCGTCTCTGGAAAAAAAAAAAAAAAAAAAAAAGCTGAGTGTGGTGGTGTGCACCTGAAGTCCACCTACTTACCTACTTGGGAGGCTGAGGTGGGAGGACTGCCTGAGCCTGGAAGGTCAAGGCTGTAGTGAGCCATGTTCGTGCCACTGCACTCCAACCTGGTTGACAAAGTGAGACCCTGTCTCAAAACAAAACAAAAAAACTACAAACAAACAAAAACAGAAATAGATTTTTTAAAATTGTGGAGGATTCCTTGGAAACACTTTTAACTATAAGAAGGTATCAAGTGGAACTATAGAGTGTCCTTGTGTTTTCCTCAAAGCTGGAATTTCTCTAGGTTGTATATGTTAAATCCACCTTTTTGCAAATCAGTTTTAATGTGGTTGATCATGTATACGGACCTAAATTTTCTTGAAAAACTAGGTGAACAAACTTCTGGGAGTGTGCAAAGGTTAAATATTACATTTTTAAAAAGAAGCATACTCGGCAGGGTGTGGTGGCTCACGCTTGTAATCCCAGCACTTTGGGAGACCGAGGCAGGCAGATCACTTGAAGTCAGGAGTTCGAGACCATCCTGGCCAACATGGTGAAACCTCGTCTCTACTGAAAATACAAAGATTAGCTGGGCATGGTGGCAGGCACCTGTAGTTTCAGCTACTCAGGAGGCTGAGGGAGGAGAATCGCTTGAACCCGGGAGGCGGAGGTTAGTGAGCTGAGATCACACCACTGAACTCCAGCCTGGTGACAGAGTGAGACTCCATCTCAAAAAAAAAAGCACACTCAATCAATCAGATATCACTTTCATGCAAAAGAAAGTTAAAGTTTGCCTATATATTTACATGACACATGATGGTATTTAATAATGGCAATATTATTGGACATCTCTGCTTTATAAAATTTACGGGTATTTTTTACATATAGTTAATGATGGTATTTACTAGTAGCAGTATTATTAGACATCTCCTCTTCATAAAATTTAAGGGTGTTTTTTACATATAGTCAGTCCAACTGTCACAAAATAGTATTTTTTCTCTCTCTCTGTGCCTTTGCTGTACCTCAGCTCTGCAATTTGTCTTGTTTGCTAGTGTATTCTTCACACCTTGACAGTGCCTGGCACATAGCATACACTTAGTAAATATTTGGTGGATGAATGAATGAACCATTTCATAACTTCCTATTTAGGAAATAAGAGTGTTTTCCATTCTCCCAGCCAGAAACCTTTGGTTGTTCCAAAACACTAACTAACAGATCTGTTAGACTATTTATTTCTTTTCTTCCTGCCTAATGTCAGCTTTACAAGCATTATCCCAACACAGGGTGCCTAGATAATGTATGTGCATTATGATGTTTTTTTACTCTCTGTCGATGTTCAATTCGCAAATGATAGCCTTACAGTTTTGTAAACATCCAGCCGATTTGTCCCTACAAATCTGTGAATTTCAGCAAGCCTCATAATGCAGCATGATAAGTTCTGATTGTGAAATTCCAGCCACACAAATAATGATGGAAGCGATCAATTGCTTTAACAATGCCTAATAGCTCTCTCCCTGTGCTCAGTAGTTTCTGGCTGAAGTACTTAGAGTTTGACTATAGTAAGCGATTATTACCTTATCAAGAATCATCTCGTCTGCAATGCATTTCTTCTGGACAGAAAAAGCCCCCATTAATCCTCAAATTACCCATACCTCATATTTCTTTCATTTACATCCACTGTGACTTTCTTTGCTTCACTCTTTCTGACTCAGAGTGCTCTTTCTGATCCAGAACACTCACATGGCGACTACATTTCCAGAGCCCAAATTTGACTTCATGTTCTGACAAATTATACTTTTAATTTGTGAATTTATTTTTAGAAAGCTTCAAAAATTAGAAAATCAAATTTTATGAGTTATACATTTGACCACCACCTATTATGGATAAGAATATAGGTACACAAGAATAAGTACAAAATTCTGCCAAAAATTACAGAGGGGTTGATGCAATTTTTGTCTTGTCATTTTCATAATTCCTGTTGAAGTGGATGGCAGGGTGTTCCACTTTTGTGCTCATTTGTAGAATTCAATTTATAAAGTAAGAAGTTGTTCTTTGTTGTTTCCAAACATGTCTTGGAAAGTTTGAGTAATTCATTTGAATTGAGTGAAGATTTTGTATCAATTTCTTTAGTAATCCCCAAAAGCTGTTAGTAAAAATGATCCGATAAATCAGTCATACCAGGTGGTATGAAATATTCAGATAGTAATATATTGTTTCATGAAAATCTTTATAGAGGATTTTGTTTTCTTCTGCTTCGATTTGGTAAGCAAATATTTAAGAAATAAGATAAGAATTTTGTTTTTAAAAGTCTCCATAACAACAGAAAATAAAATATCCTAGAAATTATTCCATGCCTTTTTGAGAGCATCCTTTTCACAGCCTTTTTTTGTTTGTTGGCTTGTTTGTTTCAAAGAAAGCAAAACTGTTAAAGGCTTTTCAATATGTGCCTCTACAAGCAGGTAATTAATTTCCCATTCCCTTTAATCAGTTTCACTAAATCTATATCACGATGAATATGTAACATTATTAGCAATTGTATTCTACCTTTTTTTTTTATTTTTAGAGTGAAACCATTCACATTTTTATCTTTCTCCTTAATTCTGATTAAAATGCGAAGATTCACATGGAGAAATATTCTGTCCCTCCATTTTGGAAAAAGTGTCATGGAAAATTGCAATGGCATTGTTTTGATTTAATGTCATTGGAAAATGTCTTGACAATGGAACTTTTTCAACTGATAAAAACTAAGCATGTGATGGTTGAAACATTATTAGTATTCTTCTGAGAACAGGCATCTGTATCAGAAATCTTATGTTTGAATAGGACCAAATTTGTCTTTGATAAAACTGCACGATTATTTCAGTGTCTTCACTCATATTATAAAAATGTAACAAATTTTGAATAATTTTACAATAACAACTTCTACATCAATTGAAAAAATCTGATGAATTATTAATACAATTGTTGTAAATCTGTACCGTGCAACTGATCCCTACCAAGATTCTGATATTGCCATTATTAGAAAAGAATCTCAAAGCTAGCACTAGAAATACTGCATGGAAATAAAAAAAGAAATATTGGATGACACACTGACAAGATAATCAACAAGCCTGCTGAGGCTTAGACCAGAGGAAAGATGGTCATTTAATTGAGCACGTTAGTCACCTGGAGGGATGTCACCTTCAAGAATTTTTAATTTCCGTGTTTTCATTATCTTATTATTTGTATATCATAAGCGATGTCAGCATAGTCAGAAAAGATTTTTTACTAGTAGTATATACTAAAGAGGTAGCAGAAGATAACGGTTGAGAACACAGAATCTGGAACGAAGTTGGTGGGGTTCAAATCTGAGTTTAGTCAGTTACTAGTCAGGAAATCCTTGCCAAGTTACATAACTGTGCTCAGTGTCTCAGTTTTCTTATCAAGGATGATATACATTAATACTGTCTTTAAAAGGCTAATGAGGTTTGAACAAATTGATATTTGAATAGTGCCTGGCAGGCAAGCACCACTTTTTTTTTTTTTTTTTTAAACAGAGATTCACTCTTGTTGTCCAGACTGGAGTGCAATGGTGCAATCTCGGTTCACTGCAGCCTCTGCCTCCTGGGTTCAAGTGATTCTCTTGCCTCAGCCTCCCGAGTAGCTGGGATTACAGGCACCCACCACTACACCTGGCTAATTTTTGTATTTTTAGTAGAGATGGGGTTTTGCCATGTTAGCCAGGCTGGTCTCAAACTCCTAGCCTCAGGTGATCCACCCACCTCGGCCTCCCAAAGTGCTGGGATTACAGGTGTGAGCCATTGCTCGCAACCCAGCCTTTCTAAAACAGAAACATTAGGAATAAAACATGCCGCAAGCATCATTTAAACATTGTTCAAATACAATTGTGACTAGACAAATATATTATGATTCTAAGATCTAATGTTATACACAATACTATTATGGTTTTGTTGTGCTCCTGGAAGAAGGATGTTTTTCACCCTTTTTACTTGTGCTGATGAAAATCTGGATTTAAATAATATGAATATTACCTGGATGTACAATCTGAATATCTGAAGTTATGATTTACCTTGTGATATGAAAAGCAATGAGTGTTCTTAATGGTTGTTCCTAAATTCCATTTCTGCAGAATTACATTTCCAGTAAAACTAAAGAACACTCTGATCTTTGATGGACTATCTGAAGTTGCAGTAGCCCTATAGAGGATTCGTTGGCAGGCTTGAAGAAAATAAGCACTGGAAAAGATACATGCAAAAAAGCTACAGCTTGCATCAATAAGCACAAAGATGGCAACACCAGAAAGCATCTAGGGCCTTCCCAGCTGGGGTGTTCGGTGAGCACAGCTTCTTAGATGTCCCCATGTCCTCATACAGAAGATGCCTTTAGGTCAGTAACTTTGGTCTCTTGTCTGTTTAAGGTTAGATCCTGCCAGGTCACAGGAAGCAACTTGCAAGAGAAGCCACCCTTAAACTTCAGCATTGCTCCCACATACTGCACAGCCATGTCATCCGGATCTAACGTCTGGTTATGGGAACTACTTCTGACCAGGCGATCTGGGCTAACTCCTTCCACTTTTCAGGTTATATCAGGGAATGGCAAACTACAGCCCACAAGCAAAATACTGTCCAGTGCATGGTTTGTTTATTTTTCCTCCAAGCCCACAAATTAAAAATGGTTATAACATTTTCAAATAATTGAAAAATAATCAAAACAAGAAAACAGTTTTGTGACAGGTGAAAAATTATCTGCTATTTACATTTGCTGTTTTATTTGAACACCAATGTGGCAGACAGAATTCTAAGGTAGCCCCAATATTCCCATGCCCTGGTACAGACACTCTGCATAATCTTTCCTCCCCTCAAGTGTGGATGGGACAGAGAATATGACAGGGTCTTGCTCCCGTGATTATATTACTTTGTGTAGCAAATCTGATGAGATTTTGCAGATGGAATTAAATTTCGTAATCAGTTGACTTTGATTAATCAAAGAAAGATGATTTTGAGTGGGCCTGATCTAATCGGGTGAGCCAGTAAAAGATGGGCTGGGCCCTATCTGAGCCTTCTACTGAGATGTGCTCTTCTGCTGGTTTTAAAGAAGCAAGCTATCACAAGTTATCCAGCTGCAAGGAAATAAATTCTGCAATAAATCCTGGGGTTTGGAAGAGCATCACAAACATCAGATGAGACCGCAGCCCTTACTGATACCTTGACTGCAGCCTTGAGAGGCCCTGAGCACAGGACTCAGCTTAGCTGACTCCTGGCCATGGAAACTGTGAGATAAATGGATGTTGTTTTAAGCCCCTAAGTTTGTGGTAACTTACCATACAGCAATAAAATCAATAAAATGAGTCATGCTCATTTGTGTAAGTATTGTCTATGGCTACTTAAGGGCTACAATGGTGGAGTGGACCAGCTGTGAAACATATTCAACATAGCCCACAACATGTAAAATATTTACCAAAAACATGTAAACACCTAGGTTATATAATTATAACCTAGAATCACACATACTCAACCATCCTGCATCTGTATAATAAGAATGAGGCTGTGGTTACACACAATTGGATGAAGGCTGAATAAATAAGATTTCTTGCTATAAGCAAAGCTTTTCATACTGATGTAGGCACGCAAACACGTGCAGACTGTGATGGGTCCTCAAGGAGACATATTCCATTAAACACTCTCATGAAAGGCTCCTTTTCTAGCACCTGTACTCATTTTGCAACAAATCAAATTTTAAGTAATTTTGTACTGCTTTTTTTTTCTTTTTTCTTTTTCAGAACAGAGTCTCACTTTGTAGCCCAAGCTGGTATGCAGTAGCAAGATCTCAACTCACTGCAACCTCCATCTCTCAGGCTCAAGCAATTCTCATGCCTCAGCCTCCCAAGTATCTGGGACAACAGGTGCCCGCAACAACACCTGGCTAATTTTTTTGTATTTTAGTAGAGACAGGGCTTCACCATGTTGCCCAGGGTGGTCTCAAACTCCTGAGCTCAGATGATCCATCCACCTCGGCCTCCCAAAATGCTTGGATTACAGGTGTGAGCCACCATGCCCAGCTGTAATTTTGTACTTTAAACACCTTTAAAATACAAACAAGATATGCTTGATGTCACAAGAAACACTCACTATTGTTATCACCTTACATTGTAATCACCTTGGCCTGGCAGCGAGAGTTCCATGGGCTTTTCCATAGATGCTGTTTGATGAGTTCATCTAGAGGTGCAGAGCACACACACAGAGCCACAGACAGACATGGTTGCAGCAGCATGGCATGGCGTCCCAAGTCACCACACTGTTCCTTCATCCTGTGCCGGCCTTTACACATGGTAGTCCGATTGATGCTTTTGCTCCAAAAATATTATGAAATGTCTATGTTCTGCCAGCTGGGATTCAGCAGTAAGCAGGACAGATGTGGCCCTGACAAGCTTACGATCTGGTAGGAAGACATGCATTCTGTAAGAAATTAGAAGTAAAGATAGTAAGTATAGTGCCATAGGACCATACGTCCAGGGGCCTAACTTAATGGGTGATCTGAATGTCTTCTCTAAGAAAGTGCTATCTAAGCTGTAGCCTAAGAATCTACAAGAACCCTAAGCAGACCTGTTTCTAACCAGTGAAAACCTTGGAGGCTTGGTTATTCATTAGAACCATCTAGGAGAGGTTGTTTAAAATCCTGACATCCAGGCTATAATGCAGATCAATTAAAGTAGAATCTTAGGGCTGAGAGTAGGCAACAGTATATATATTTTTAAGGTTCCTAGGTGATTCTAGTGAGCACTCCAAAACCATTATTTCCTCTTTCACTACTTTGATGATGAAGGAGTGTTCCCTGCCAAGCTAGAGCAAATCCTTCCAAAGTGTTCTCAATATTCTATTCCCTCCTATCTTCTCAGGAAATCTAGTGATAATCTCGTCTTCTCTTTCTTTAACTTCTCCTTCCTATTAGCATGTAATCATTTTCTAGTCTCATGTTTTTAAAAAAATCCTCCTGATCCCACCCCACCCACTTTGGTACCTCCTTCCCTTCTCTTCTTTATAGCCAAACATCCTCCAAGAATGGTCCACATGGGTTGTCTATTCCCACCCACTCTTCAACAAGCAGGACCTAATGTTCAGCTCCTGTTAAGGTTACGAGTAACCTATTTTTCATTAAAGACAATGCATCCAGCTGGGTGCGGTGGCTTATGCCTGTAATCCTAGCACTTTGGGAGGCTGAGGTGGGCAGATCATGAGGTCAGGAGTTTGAGACCAGCATGGCCAACATGGTGAAACCCCATCTCTATTAAAAATATGAAAAATAGCCGGGCATGGTAGCAGGTGCCTGAAATCCCAGCTACTCAGGAGGCTGAGGCAGGAGAATTGCTTGAACCAGGGAGATGGAGGTTGCAGTAAGCCAAGATTGCACCACAGCACTCCAGCCTGGATGACAGAGCAAGAGTCTATCTCAGGGCACTGGCGGGAGGGTTGGGAGGGGAAGGCAATGCATCCTTCACAGTCTTCATTCTACAAGATCTCTCAGCAGCATTTGCTGTAAATGGGCATTCCATTCTAATTCTTGAAAGACACTCTCCCTTGGTGTTTCCCAGGCCTCAGTCTGGTTCTTCTTTTTCTCCACCACCCTCTTCTATTCTTTCCATAGATGATCACATCTCCCCACGTGGCAGCAAGAACCATCCATGTGTTGCTGAATTTTCTAGACAAGTGTTTTATCAAATTATGGTCTCTACAGAGTCTGGAAATTCAGATTCTAGAGCCTTACTTCAAGCCTACTGAATTAGAATCTCTGAGTTGGACCAAGGAATCTGAATCTTTTACAGTGTCCTGGAGATGAGTCTTATGCACCAACGTGTTTGAGATGCGCCATTGCAGACCCATCTATCCAAATGCCTAGGAAATAGTTCTACCTGGATATTTCGCAGGTATTGTAAATGCACCATATATATGATGGACATTCTTAGTGCTCACTAACATACAGTTGTCCTCCTTCCTGGGCACACAGAATAACACTGCAAGCCCTCTTGCAGTTATGCACAGTCATGTGACTAGCCCTGCCCAATGGACTGTAAATAAGAGAGAGATATGTCCCTTCCATGCAGAGGCTGTGAATTTCAAGGATCTCACAGCTCCTAGCAATCTGGAAGCCCTGGTGACAGTAACAGAACCACAAGATGAAGGTGAGTGGATTTCCTTCACTGCTTGGAAGGTTGCTGCCAAACGCACAATAGATGTCATGTGCACGAGAAGCAAGAACGAAACCTTTGTGGGGTTAAGTCCCTGAGATTTTAGAAGGAATGTACTACGCTACCAGAATTTAGCTCATCCAAAAATAAAAATTCATCCTTTCTCTGGCTCACTCCAACCCACTACTCTTTCTAGTGTTCTGTCTCTACTCAACTGATGAGCCAGAAGCTTCATGTTAGCAGTTAGTGGAAGTTCTCATGGATTCTTCATGTTTTCTTAGAAATGAACAGTTATCCACTCCACACTCCAGAAAGGACAAATATGGGAGCATTTGTCTGTTTTTCTTTCCATTGTCACTACCCTTTCACTCTTTAGGGAAGAATGAGTTTCTTACCTTATTAGTGAGAATCATTGAACTACCTTTACTGTCACTTGTCTTACATGTCCTGATATTGTACTTTAATCCTCATCTAGTTCTTGGAATCTGAGCTCAACTAACATAGAACTAAAAGGGAAGGAAATAAGAGGTTAATAACATCCCTAAACCCACACTGTAGAAGACAGAGATGACAGCTATATTGTTTTCTACTGCATTGCCAGCACATGGCATACGGAAAGTATATATTGTTGATTTGCTGAGATACTGGATGAGAGTTCAACTGTTACAGAGAAAAAGAGTACAGAATATTTGGAAGCAAGACTATCATATAAGAATCTGTGTTAGAGAGGCATCATTCTTTCTTTACCATCCAGATTTCTCCATGCTCATCAAATACTTAATTTTTCAAGGATGAGAGAAGTAGAATATGGCTCACAATATTCCTCCTCTTCCCCATCTCCTTTTGTTTTATATGGTTTGGATGGTAAAGGGCACAGTCTGCTCATGCTTGTGCCTCATGTCATTCTAAATGTTCATATTTCCATGTTTGTGAAGTTTTCTGAATCTTATTACATGGTGCATTATTCTATTCTAGAGTCCCTCTGTTCTTACCCTTTACAATTTCAAATTAAATTAAAAGCTGACAATGTGGCATTTCCCTCCTTCTTTTAAATTTCCTTCATTCTGTTTTTGTAAGGTCTTGTAACAATAGTTACATATTTGCTGATTTCAATTATTTATTCAAATTATTTCACAAGAGCCTGCAAGATGCCAGGCATAGGGCTAGGTAGAGGGGATAAAATGGTGAACAAAACAAATTCATTCCCTGCCCTGAAGGAATTTACAGTCTAGTAGGGGCAGGACACGGGCTAATTAATTGATTCCACCAATGAAAGCAAAATTACAACTAGAGATAACAGCTTTGAAGGAAAAAACATGATTGTATGACAGAGAAAAAAACATGAGTTTAACAAAGTCATTTGACAAGGGACTGGAAACCACTAGGAAATGCTTCCTGAGGCAGATAGAAAGGAGAAAGGAGGTATGAATGGGGCATCTCCAAGGACTGAGGAAGGAGAATGGAGCTGAAGGAAGATTAGCACCTGAAGCCCACAGAAGCAGGAGAGTGGTTCAGGGAAGGCTCAGGGGCTCTGAGGCAGGGATAGGACCAGCCATGTATTTTGGAAGGAATTCCTAGACTTCAGTATGAAGAACAGATGGCAGGGAGTTGTGGCTAGTGAATATGGGGAATCCAAGTGAGGAGGTTAATACATCTCTCCAGGCAAAGATGATGAAAAACTGGTCTAAGATGAGGCAGTGGAGAAAAAGAGAAACAATCAATTGGTAAGGATTGGAAGGTAAAATAATAGTTAACCCTCTTATAACACTCACCATGTGCTCTGCCGGGGCAGCCACCAGCCACATGTGGCTGTTAGGCAATATGCACTGAGACTCATGCAAATCGAAGCGTGCTTTGAATGTGAAATGCACACCAGATTCCAAAAACTCAGCACATAACAAGAACCTAAAATAACTCATTAATAACTTTTTTTTTTCTGAGATAGGTCTGTTGTCTAGGCTGGAGTACAGTGGCAGGAGCTCAACACACTGCAACCTCCACCTCCTGGGTTCAAGTGATTCTCCTGCCTCAGCCTCCCAAGTAGCTGGGATTGCAGGCACCCACCACCATGCCCAGATAATTTTTGTATTTTTAGTAGAGATGGGGTTTCACCATGTTGGCCAGACTAGTCTTGGACTCCTGGCCTCAAGTGATCTGCTGGCCTCAGCCCCTCAAAGTGTTAGGATTACAGCATGAGCCACCACACCTGGCCTCATTAATAACTTTACATTAATTATGCATTGATATGATAATATTTCATGTATACAGGCATACTTATTGCAGGTTTAGTTCCAGATCACCACAGTAAAGTGAATATTGCAATAAAGCAAGTCACATAAATTTTTTGGTTTCCCAGTGGATATAAACATTGATTATACTATGCTAGTCTACACCTTCCCATTGCTTTACTGTCATATTAAGTGTGCAATAGCATTATGTTTTTTTAAAAATGTACATACCTTAATGTAAAAAAATACTTTAGGCTGGGCACAGTGGCTCACACCTGTAATCCCAGCACTTTGGGAGGACACAGTGGGCAGATTACTTGAGGTCAGGAGTTGGGGACCAGCCTGGCCAACATAGTCAAATCCTATATCCACTAAAAACACAAAAATTAGCCAGGTACAGTGGCGAATGCCTGTAATCCAAGTTACTTGGGAGGCTGAGGCAGGAAAATCATTTGATTCTGGAAGAGGGAGATTGCAGTGAGCCAAGATCATGCCATTGCACTCCAGCTTGGGTGACAGAATGAGACTTATTCTCAAAAAAAAAAAAAAAAAAAAAAAAAAAAACAGCAAAGTTTGTTGCATCAATTGACTGCTTTCACACAAGATTTCTCTGTGGCATGTGATGCTGTTTGACAGCATTTTTCTCACAGTGGAACTTCTTCCAAAATTGTAGTCATTTTTCTCAAACCCTGCCACTGCTTTATCAACTAAGTTTTTGGAATATCCTAAATCCTTTGTTTTCATTTCAACAATGTTCATGGCATCTTCATCAGGAATAGATTTCATCTCAAGAAACCACTTCCTTTTCTCATCTATAAGAAGCAACTCCTAATCTGTAGGGGTTCTGTCATGTTGGTGGGAGAAATTAGAGAGAAAAGGACGCAAACCTCCTTGGAAGGCTGGAAGGTTTTTGCAAAAGCCTCAGGAAGGAATGAGCTGAAGGCAGTGGTTCTTACCCAGAGGCAGTTAGGCAAAAAGGAATGTAAAGCAGTTTATTTAAAGAGCGTGTTTACTCATGTGGTCCTTGTGGTCCTAAGACAGACCC